GATAGAGAGCGCAAACACGTGTTGTAGTTTGGCTGACATTGACTGGAAATTTGCCGAGAGAGGCGACATCGTCGCGTCAGGTGGAAGGAAAAATTATTTGCTGTTCGATTTGTAGGATACGGTCGGGTATCTTGAACTAAATTCAGACAAATCGTGCTAGTCAAGCGGTCCGAACGGATTAGGAATGACTACGCGTTTTATCTGAATTCGCAATAGTTGGAATAAGTGAATCGTTGGTGGAAATAATTTCCGAAATCCAGTCACCCAGCGTGTTTTCTTCTCATTGACGCATTCTTATTTAGTTTTAAAATAATCAAGTGAGGGCAATTGTTAAACATACTTTAAACAAAGAATTGTATAATTGACGTGCATCGAGTTACGGTAATTAATCGGAAAGCCAACCGAAACTGGTACTAGTACGAAAAAGGACGAAAGGAAAAAAAAGTTGGATCATCGAACAACGTATAGACAACAGAATTTACGGTGGTGTGTAGCAGGAACACGCGCGCGTGCCATCAATCATTGATAGGACCCGCCGACAGGTAAATGTTCTTCTTATTCTTCCTGTTCGATTCGTTGTTACCGTTTTACTTGGTAAATTTGCTTAGGTAGATCGCAGTGAGATTCATCTAGTTGAATTTATGTAACGAAATATCACTTAGGCAGGAGAGTACCTACATAAGTAGGATATGGCACGATACGATACGATAAAATAAGATAGGATTTATAACGTTTAAAATGAGATATTCGAATAATAAAAGTCTCCGAAAGAAATGTTCATGTTGATCGTATTAACGAAAAAATTCACGGAAGAAATAAATAGCAATGATAATTTTTCAAATGGGTATGAACTACTATCGATCGCTTAACATCAGGGGACGTAAGATTGCCGCATGCGCGCGCGTCCCAGAACAAACGATTGATCGTCTGACTGGTTGTGCAAATTTGATTAGCGAAACTTACGAAACTCGTTTATTTGGCATGCGAGACGAATTCGCGAAATTTCTGTTGCGGAAAAGTTTATTTGGCTGCATACATTCGAAGACATTGGTAAACGTTATTAATTCAAAGTAGGCGATGTTTATACATACATACGTACGCATTCGTTCCATATTAGTTTTGGCAAACTTCACAAGGTTTCATCGCCACGGTATGCTATTAGATCTTCTGTTCGCATAACGGAAGTTTACCTCTTTTATGGCAGAAGGAATGAGAAAAATGTGTTGTCCATTAAAATAGTGTTAATATGCGATTGCATATTAAACAATGGTCAATTGAAACAATGGTAGGTAGATGATGAGATGATTGGTTGTTAATAATGTAGGAGAATAATAATTCGATTCGATGAATATTATCGGAGAGAAAAGGTTGTAGTAAAGAATGATTATAGTAAAATGCGAGAAGGAAAGTGGGGTATATGTACTCGTATGTATGTATCGAGAAGAAGGTCTCTCTCGTTCTCTCTCTCTCTCTATTAATGCTACATATTATTATTAATGTGTACCCTACCCCTTAACGATAATGGGAGTTTCCGTTTTGCGTGTTATCTCATTATCTTGAAAATTGTAATTTCCCAAGTGGCGTGACATAATTATTACCCAAGATGTTTGTTAATTCGTAATAAAAATATGTGAAACCTATAGTGTAGAAGGTTATTGGAGAATTTATAAGAAACGAAATTTGGGAAGATACAAGCGTGTTTGGTTGAAGTAGTGAAAAATAATGAAAAATTCATTGGATGAACAATATCTAAATCCACTTTAGATTAGGAAAAGTTCGAAATTGAGAATAAGAATAGAAGATAAGAAGAATGGATGGAAGGAATGATGAAACTAGTAGCAGTACATAAACGAAGTTGAGGTGTTATCAATGACTTTCCGGCTTCTAAAATAGAAATGTATTTTAAGGGAAACTGAGAGATTTGCAGATTCTATCGGCGCTCTGGCACAATGCCAAGTATCTACAGCACAGTCGGCAGCTATCTACTACATAAACTATCGTTGAAAACTACCTTCCTATACATTTCTTTTCACATAATTACGGAGTAACGGAAAATTTCTCTGTTTTACCAGCTATGTGAATCAAAAATTTCTAATGTTGCGCGCAAATACATACTTTGTTCCGGATAGGAAATTATTTTGAATGTTAATTTTTGATTTCACAATAATAACACATTACAATTTCATTACACAATTTCAATATTCATTAGACTTTCTGTGAGACGATGATTCGTTTGTACGAATTATCGAAGAAACCGACTCGGAAAACGAGAATGTGTGCGCTGTGGATGAGAAATAGGAGGGAGAATACTTAAAAATGCGTAGGTAAACATCGAAAAATGTATGAATCGCGTATTAGGTGTCCCTCAGACGTCTAAGGGTAATAGAACGAGGAGCGGATTGGGATTGATGAATAAATTTTCGGTAGTAGAATTTTTGCGGGAGAAGGAAACGCGCGAAGGTTCCGCAAACGTTCATACGAACGATAAAGAAAAGTTATATACGCTAGCCGAATTGGGACGTGAACGACGACGGTGGCGACGGCAGCAGCGGGATAGTTGTGCGTGTAGAAAACGGGAGAAGGAGAAGGCAAAGGCGGGGCAAAGCTGAGCAAAGCTCTCTCGATGGTCGCGTCGTGGTATGGAATGGAGTGTGTCGCGTGACGGAACGGGAAAGGATCAACGGTGGTATATGCAACGCAATGCGGTGGGACGAGTTTCGCGATCCAACGTCTGATACGTAGTAAACCGAGCATAGAAAAGTAACCACGCGGCGATCAGTGGACGACGAGACTTAGGTGCACACATAGGGAACCGTCGCATATAATCGAAGAAGGCTGAGCAGTAGAAACTCTGTTTATTTCTCGGTGGGGAGAAAACTTGATGTACGAACGGCGGCGGTAACGATGACAAGGAGACACGAAAAAGATTGAAGAGAGTACGAGAGCACATAGAGAGGGTAAATGGAAGGGAAGAGAAGATGAATCGTGAGCGTAGAGAGGAAACAACGTTAGTAAGCCGGAAGCTTTTGAATAGCGGTTGCAAGAGTAGTAGGAAGCCAACGCCTGTGCTGTGAGATTTCGCATGTAACCGGTATATATACATTAAAATAACTTTACTTCGGGAGGACGAAAGAAAGAAAAGAAAGTGTATCGACGTTATTGCACGAAACTTTCAGGGTAAGCACTGTTCGACTAATTAACGTCGTCTAGGTCTTGTTTCGCGAATCACGTGGAACACGTTGCGTCGTAAAAACAATTTCGAGAAAGGGCAGCCATCTTCCACGTTTCCAACGTTGACCAATATGTCCGTTTCGCACAAACGTGCAACGATAATCATCCCTCGTTCTCTCTCCCCCCCCCCCCCCCCCCCTTTCCTTCCT